AAGGACTGATCCAGAGACGGAGAGGCATTGATTGGACTGTCGGGCTTTGGAGGGAGGGTAAGGGAGGGTGGCGGTAAGGGGGAAAGATCAACCAAAAGACTTATATGCAGGCATATAGGCCTAACCAATGGACACGGACAACGTGGGGGCGGGGGAGTTCGAGGGTAACGTGGGGACAAGGACACATATGTAATATCTTAATCAATAAAAAATATATTAAAAAAATTGGTAAATAAATGAATTTACATAATTAAGAAGCTCAGTGAATCTCAAGCATATTAAATACAAAGAAAACCACACCTGACCACATCCACTTGAAAAGTGCCCAAGGAAAAGGATGAGAACTTTTATCCCAATTTCACCTACATCTATCTTATGCTATTTCTTAGTACCAATGACTCCAGTAAACATATTTTCAAATGATTAAAAATATTATCATAGTGCAACTACTGAAAACCAAAGATAAAGAAAATCTTGAAGCTGCCAAAATGAATACAGGGAACAATGGTTTGAATCACGAATGACTCTCAATCTAAACAATGGAGAGCGGAAACCAGTTGAACAACATCTTCAAAGTACTGGGAGAACAAAAAACGTCACCCTAGAATTCTATTCCCAGTGGAAATATCCTTCAATAATGAAAAAAAAAAAAATTTAGTCATTGTCAGACAAAGAAAACCACCACAGAAAATGCTAAAGAAAGATATTCAGATTGAAGGAAAATGACATAAGATAGAAAATTGAATATTCAGGAACAAATGAAGAGCTTTGTAAATGAAACATTCCCAAAATGTAGCCTTCTTCCACTTCCAAAAAATTACTCTTGTTGCTGGCATAATCAGAAATGGCATTTCCTGAAGCTTTAAGAGACGCTCACTTATAAATAGTTAAAAATAGCACATTTCTATATCTACCTTTTTAGATGAAGTATACAGAAAGAAGATGCCATAGAAGTAAATACCGAAACTAAGGAAAGTAAGAACTAGGCATGGACAACTTCTAATTAAACAAACAAAAGAAAAGAAGAAGAAAAAAGAAAACCAAAAAAACAAGACCCTGAAAATATACCTGGGACCATACACAAAACATTACAGAAAATGCAAACATCAACCTAATATAATTGCTCTGTGGAAATTAGTTCTTAGGGAACACGATAAATTGTCTGCTGTCTCTGACCCAGGAGTTTCATGTCTTTTGCCAGTCTCCATGACACTGTGGCAGGCTGGCTGGTTAGCTTACAAATAGGGTAATCTATTTGTGGCAGGCTAGCTGGTAGCTTACAAAAAGGTGTGAGAAATAGTATTTATTGACAATTTTATCATCCTAACATTAGTGTGCCTATAAAAGAAAGAGAAAAATTAGAAATATATAAATCCAGGAAGAATTATCTTTATTTTTTATTTTTAAATTTATCTTATCATGTCATGTTTAGAATTCCAAATAGATTGGATATGAAAAATCTGCAGGAGAGGACTGCAGTAGTCTATAGAAATTCTATCCCAAATTCCAAAATTCTAATCCTAGAACATCTCAAAAACTAATATTCCATTCTCATTTTAGAAAATGCTATTGTATAGGTTTTGCACATATTAC